AGCGTTGATGTAGCCGGAGTAGTCTGCGCCGAGCATGATTCTGCAGGCCCTTTTCTGTACCTTCTCTAGCTGACGTTCTTGGGTGGAGTTGAGAGAAGACGACCAGGCTGGTGACGCACACGTTAGTTTGGGGAGAATAAAGCTCTCTCTCTGTTTGTGTGTGGGGTGGGGGGTGGGTGGGTGGGTGTGAAATATATCGCTTGTCTTCACGGAGGGATAATGGTGAGAATCCTGGTTAATCCTTGTTGTGGTCTGTGGGTGGAGTGGTCGTGCTGGTGACGGTGTATGTGGGTGGGTGGGGGGGTCGTGCTGGTGACGACTGAACTATTGTAAGACCCACAACATGTCACCCAAGGGCGTCTCCCTAGAGTACAATCTCTCTCCAGTCATTGTAAGGGAACCCGGAGGCCAGCTGATCTACACACAGACACATAACTATAAGTATACCTCTAGTGGTGTAAAGAAATTTGTAGATTATTATTATTATTATTATTATTATTATTATTGGATCTGACAACTTGGTTTATTTTAGAATTTTTCCTTGCAATTTATAGGTCCGGGTTCGAACCTCACCCAGGACAGGGGGTTTCTCACGGGCAGATGATATTTGGCTCACCTGAATATTAGCCTCCCACCGTGATGATCAAGCACCTTAACACTACCTACAGTAGATGGGGTTAGGTTAGATTAACGTTGTGGTTTTTAACATTACTCATCAGGCGAAATAATCTAGAGCGGGTGGCTAATCTTCATGTGATCCGATATATATTTTTTGCCACACTACGCCACATCCTTATTCAAGTTGTGTGCGGTGGTGGCTTCAGGCCGTGTTCCTCTGCGGGATGTAGACGACCCAGACAAGACAACTCAGGGGTAGTCAGACCATGACCTTCAGTAGTTATATGGGCTGGTCACCGTATATACTACCTTCTGGTCTTAATAACCTTTGATATGATAATTAATCCACGTGAAAATAAAGTTATAAAAAGACAACAATTTTTTTTCTTAAGAGATGAGAATAATAGAGGTTTTGTTATATATTGTGAGAGATGAGAAGTTGTCTAGACCAGAGTATAGAGGGAGGGAGGGGGGGGAGGACATTTTATCGTGGTGGTGAAGCCCAGGGCGACAGGATGGGCATTTTGGCGGGCATGATCCCTCCCCTTCTCTCCTTCCCCCTACCCCTCCCCTTCACCCCTCCCCTTCACCCCTCCTTCCCTCCTACATCCTGGGGATAATAATAACAGTAATACCAGAGGGAAAATCCCCAGGTTGGTGGATTACCGCGTCCTACACCCCGTTGCCACCCTGCCACCCACTCACCGACTGGGCAACTGCCACCCATCAACCCACCCATTGGTCCACTACCACGTCGCCCATGAATCCACCCTCTGGTCCACTCCCATCAACCCACACCCACTGGTCCACTACTACGCCACCCACCAACCCACCCATTGCCTCCTCTATACCCAGACCTCACCTACCCACCTCGCCTAAGGCTCAGGATCTCCGTTGGCAGTGACTTTTTGCCTTTTTGGCTCCGCTTGCCCTTGTTTCGCCTCGCCTTACCCTCGCCTCGTCCCACCCTCGCCTCGTCGCACCCTCACCTTGTCCCACCCTCGCCTCGTCCCACCCTCGCCTCGTCGCACCCTCACCTTGTCCCACCCTCGTCCACCTCACCTCGCCTCGTCCCACCCTCGTCCGCACCATCCTGCCCTTCCCACCCTCTTTCATCCCACCCCTCGCCTCGTCCCGTTCCCTCGCCTCTGTCCCACCCTCGCCTCGTCGCACCTCACCCTCGCCTCGTCCACCCTCGTGTCCCACCCCTCTCGTCGCAACCTCTCGTCCCACACCCTCTGCCTCGTCCCACCCTCGCCTTTGCCTCGTCGCACCACCTTGTCCCACCTTCGCCTCGTCCCACCCGCCTCGTCCTCGCCTCGTCCCACACTCGCCTCCTCGCCTCGTCCACACCTGCCCTCGTCGCCTCCACCTCGCCTCGTCCACCTCGTCCACCTCGCCTCGTCCCACCCCCGCCTCGTCCCTCGCCTCGTCCACCTCGCGCCGTCCCCCTCCCCCACCCTCGCCTCGTCCCCTCGCCTCGTCCCCCCACCCTCCTCGTCCCACCCCTCCGCCTCATCCCGCTCGCCTCGTCCCACCCTCACCTCGTCCCACTCGCCTCGTCCCCCTCGCCTCGTCTGTCCCTCGCCTGCCTCCACCCCCACACTGTCCCACCTCCGCCTCGTTTCCACCTTCCCGTCCCACCCTGTCCCACCTCGCCTCGTTCCACCCCTTCGTCCCACACACTCGCCCACCTTGTCCCACCTTCCCCACCCTCGCCTCGTTCCACCGCCCTCGTCCCCACCCTCCCACCTCGTCCCACACTCGCCTCGTCCCACACCTCCTCCCACACTCCCTCCCTCGCCTCACCTCCCACACCTCGCCTCGTCCCACACTCGCCTCGTCCCACCTCGCCTGTCCCACCTCGCCCTCGTCCCACCCACACTCGCCTCGTCCCACCCTCACCTCACCCTGCCCCCACACTCCACCTCACCTCCCACACTCCGTTGTCCCACACTCGCCCTGCCTCGTCCACCCTCACCTCGTCCCACCTCGCCTTGTCCCACCCTCGCCTCTGTCCCACCTCACCCATCCCACACTCTGCCTGTTCCACTCCTCAAGCTTGTCCCACTGCTCTGTCCCAGCACACCTGTTCCACCCTCGTTTCTGTCCCACCCTGCCCCTGTCGTCCCACCTCGCCTCGCTGTTCCACCCCCGCCTGTCCCACCCTCACCCTGTCCCACACCTCGTCCCACCTCCCGTCCCACCTCGTCCCACCTCGCCTGCCTCGCCTGTCCCACACCTCCACCTCTCGCCTCGCCTCCCACCCTCACCTGTCCCACACTCGCCCTTGTCCCACCCTCGCCTCGTCCCACACTCGCCCTCGTCCGTCCTCACCACACCTGTCCACCTCCCCCCGCCTCATCCCACCCTCACCTTGTCCCACACTCGCCTCCCACCCTCCCTCGTCCCCACCCTCACCTTGTCCCACACTCGCCTCGTCCCACCTCACCTCGTCCACACTCGCCCACCTCGTCCCCACCTCCCGCCTCGTCCCACCCTCACCTGTCCCACCTCGCCTGTCCCACACTCCGCCTCATATCCTGGCCTCCACACTCCTCCTGCCCACTCCGCCTCGTCCCACCCTCACCTTGTCCCACACTCTGCCTTGTCCCACCCCTCGTTCCCTCGCCTCGTCCCACTCCTTCCCAATCCACCCACCTTGTCCCACACCTCTGTTCCCTGTCCCACCCCTCACCTTTGTCCCACACTCCTTCGTTCCACCTGCTCGCCTCGTTCCACCCTCCTCGTTTCACCTCGCCTCGTTCCACCCTCGCCTCCCACCCTCACCTCGTCCACCTCCTTCGTCCAACACTCGCCTCGTCCCACACTCGCCTCGTCCCACACTCGCCTCGTCCCACATTCGCCTCGTCCAACACTCGCCTCACCCCACCCTCGGCCTTGTCTCGTCACTTGGTGTATATACTTTATGTGTGTGTGTGTGTGTGTGTGTGTGTGTGTGTGTGTGTGAGCGCGCGTGCGAGAGAGAGGGGGGATAGAACCTTGCAACATTCCAACAGTTGATGGGAAAGTCTCTTAATCTTGGATGTGAACTATCGACGACCTCTAGGTAGTGGCAGGAGGAGGTGAATGGAGGAAAGATCCGGGAGGGAGGGAGAAGGAAGTACGGTGAGGAGAGTGACACCATCAAAATTATAAGTGAGAGTGAGTAGCATGATTAAATATAAGGGAACGGAAGTGTGAAGGAGAAGGAGTGTGAGGAACGTGTAGTGTGAGGCAACATGAGTGTGAAGGAGGAGGAGTGAGGTAAGGACGTGAGGCATGAGAGTAACTGGGGATTAAAAGTGGCCAGGGGCGCCAGGGACATCCTTTTGTCAGTCCCACGGGTCAAAACCCATTCTTCATCCTTCTTCAGGGGCACCTAGGATCGTGTTTTTGTCGAGGTGTATCCTTCATCCTACGGCATAGGATTCGATGCTGTCTCACGCATATCCCTTATATGAGGGGTCTGTGTCGTAGGATGTTTGTGATTCGTGTTTGTGTGTTCATGGGATGATTGTTTGGGGCTTTGGTGTATGTTTGTTGTGGAGGAGAGGGTTGTGTTTGTTTTCGTGTGTGTTTGTAGCTTTGTGCTGTTTGTGTTCCTCTTCTTCTTCTTTCTTGTTGTTGTTGTAATGACGTATTAAGGACCCCCCTTTCCTTGCAGTACACACCATAAACCTGAAAACAACAACATTTGAATAACAACAATAAAACAATAACAATCCTCCCCCCTCCATGTACCGTTATTTTCATTGTTATGGGAAGAATCACCATTGTGTCTGGTATCACATTATTATTGTTGTATTGTATCCGTTACTTACAGGGGGGTACAATAGATGTTTGTTAAGGCTTCAATAACAGGTAATTTATCAGGTGTTGTGGTAATGATCTTGTTTGTTTGTTTTGTTTATTGTTAAAAATGAATAAATTAAAAATGTGTGTGTGAGAGAGAGAGAGAGAGAGAGAGAGAGAGAGAGAGAGAGAGAGAGAGAGAGAGATTCGTGCCAACTCTCAACCTGCCATAATCCCTTCAATGCTTAGCTATAAGAATATAACTGGATTTGTATGTATTATGTGTCATTTGGTAGCTATATACTATATGTGTATTTAATATATTACGTATAATATGTTCAGGTTTGAGTATATCATGTATGACTATATATATTTTACCATTACGTGTTCAGAATTGGTTATATATCACGTTTAACAGTATACCTTTGCTATTAATATGTTTGATCTGAGTATATCACGCCAGGTATTATATTTTTGGCCATGAAGTGATCAGGCCTGAGTATTTCACGCCCGACAGTATATTTCCTGATCATTACGTGTAGTTATACTTGTCTAAATCACGACTAATGGTGTATTCTTGTCCACAGTGGTGAGAGCACCCTTGAGCGGCGGTGCTCGTGGCAGCCTCAGGGCACCTCCGCCTCTAGTGCCAGTCAGGAGACCCCAGGGGGCGAGGCCAGTGCCACCGCCGCCGTCAGTGTCTCCCCTGAGGGCCGAACTCCCTCGCCTCAGACACCACAGGGGCAGGGCGAGCTTTCCCTGGCGAGGAACACCGTCGCCAGATCCTCTCGACGGTCGCCCCTGCCGAGGTATCCGTCGGCTGAGAGCCTCACCTCCTTCGCCGAGTCGCTAGTCAACCCCGGGGGCGCCTCCTCGTCCTCCCTGGTCCCGGCCAAGAGCACGCCCTCCCTCCACCACCACCAGGATGGTCCCCACGCCCACACCTTCTCTGCCAAGCATCCTAGTGTGAGCGCCGCCCTACACGCCTCCAGGTAACTTGCAGAGTCTTCTTCAGGTGTGCCAGTACAAGTAGCAGCGGGATTTACGGGGGATTTTGTCCAGTGGGATTTTATTCAGAAAGACTTTGATCCAGCGGGAGTTTGTCCGATCAACCACGCCTGCGTCGGTCACTTGAAAACCGGCTCGTCCCGGCCAGTCTGGGGACACAGTTACCTTAACGAGGGACTTGGCAGGTGTTCAGGCTTTAACGACTCGGCTGACTGAGAGGCAGGTTGAAGGGGAAGTGATTTGGTGGTGGGTGTAGGAAGGTTGAGAAGTTAGATTAGGGTACGTTAGGTTAAATAGGAGATGGTGGTTAGGGGAGGTGAGAGCAGTGAGAAGTTTGCGGTGTGGCGGGAGGATAGGTTGGGGAGGAGGAGGAAGGGAGTGAGTTGTAGCTTGAGTATAAGGAGATAGAAAAATAAACCTTAGTTCTGGAGTGTGTAAGGGGGGAGTTAGGGGGGGTGGGGGAGAGACAGGGTGCATGGGGAGGAAGAGGAGGGTGTTGTATGGGGAGAAGAGGAAGGGAAGGGGGGTAGGAAGATAAGCCAGTTGCCTCCTAAACGTCTCCACAACATCGTAAATCTCCGACTCGGGTCACTACCCTTCACACGCCTCTGGAATATCAAAGTACCTTAATGTTTATGTATTTATTTTTATTCATTAATTAATCTTTAACTTATTTCAATTATTAATTTTATTATTTATTATTTACATTATTTATTTATCACTTACATTACCGGTATTTTATTTATTTATTTTGCATTTATTTTATATATCTTGTTTCAATTTCATATTTGTTCGTCTTTCTTCTTCTCTTTCTGTTTTAATGTTCAATTTCATTATTTTCTTTTATTTTCGTTAACTATTTTTGGTTTAGGTAAATATAGTTGTTTGGTGGACGTCGGATTATGTGAGTTTAGGGTGTGTGTGTGTGTGTGTGTGTGTGTGTGTGTGTGTGTGTGTGTGTGTGTGTGTGTGTGTGTGTGTGTGTGTGTGTGTGTGTGTGTGTGTGTGTGTGTGTGTGTGTGTGTGTGTGTGTGTGTGTGTGTGTGTGTGTGTGTGTGTGTGTGTGTGTGTGTGTGTGTGTGTGTGTGTGTGTGTGTGTGTGTGTGTGTGTGTGTGTGTGTGTCTGTCTGTCTGTCTGTCTGTCTGTCTGTCTGTCTGTCTGTCTGTCTCTGTCTGTCTGTCTGTCTGTCTGTCTGTCTGTCTGTCTGTCTGTCTGTCTGTCTGTCTGTCTGTCTGTCCTGTCTGTCTGTCTGTCTGTCTGTCTGTCTGTCTGTCTGTCTGTCTGTCTGTCTGTCTGTCTGTCTGTCTGTCTGTCTGTCTGTCTGTCTGTCTGTCTGTCTGTCTGTCTGTCTGTCTGTCTGTCTGTCTGTCTGTCTGTCTGTCTGTCTGTCTGTCTGTCTGTCTGTCTGTCTGTCTGTCTGTCTGTCTGTCTGTCTGTCTGTCTGTCTGTCTGTCTGTCTGTCTGTCTGTCTGTCTGTCTGTCTGTCTGTCTGTCTGTCTGTCTGTCTGTCTGTCTGTCTGTCTGTCTGTCTGTCTGTCTGTCTGTCTGTCTGTCTGTCTGTCTGTCTGTCTGACCGTCATTGCCAGGAGTGCCACGGCGTCACCAGGAGGAGGAGGAGGAAAAATAAAGAGAAGGACGGGAAGCAGGAAGGAGGGGAAGAAGAAAGGAAATCGCTTGCTACCTGAGAGAGAGAGAGAGAGAGAGAGAGCTGAATTTGAACAACAATAATATGACAATTGTTTATGTGTGAGAGAAAGACAGACAGACAGACAAGATATTATCAATGAGTCAACCCTTGAGAACCTCCCCCCACCTGTGAGACCAAACCCAGGCGCCAGGGCTGTAGTGAACACGATTAGTTAACAGGGGAGGAGGAGAAAGGAGGGAGGGAAGAAGAGGAGGAGGAGAAGGAAGGGAGAGAAGGGAGGGAGGGAGGGAGAGTAAGAATAGGAAAGGAGGGAAGGAGAGGAGAGGAGGAGATAAGGAAGGTAGAGAGAGGAGGAAGGGAGAAGAGGGGGAGAGAGGAGGAGCAGGAGGGAAGGAGAGGAAGAAGGGGTAGATAGATAGACAAAAGCTCCTGTGTTCCCACCATTATTACAGGTGAGAGAATTTGTATAATTTCTGGCCACACGAAGAGGAGTTCAGCCAGGCTTGAGTGGGAGGAGGTCATACTTGAACCTAGGACTTCTTCACTACTCCTCTTCCCTCACTAACACCCCCCAGCCTCAAACTTGAAGGTTCGAGTCCAATTAATAATAATGATGATGATAATAATAATAACCTAGAATAAACTAATAAATAATTACATCTACCATAATATTACACCATCATTAATTACATAACAGTCTAGATCATCCCAGGCCTCAGGGTTACTACTTAACGAACTGTAAGGAAGTGCAGTTAAAACACGCTAATAGTAATGTAATGTAATGGAAAGTAATGTAATGTAATCCTGTAATAACAACATTGGTAGTGTTGACTGTATCCACATTCAAGGTCTACGATTCAAATTAGCAGTTTTTACAAATGATAATACTGTACCGGGCGATAATGATGATGAATATTGATAACAGTTATAAGAACACTTGTCACAATAACAATAATAATCCTGTAATGATCATCGGTAACATTTGTACGTGTTTCACAAACCTTTCCTTTCTTCCCTCTAATACACTCAGCCTTAAGACACTCTCACTCTTAGGTAATATTCATGGATATAATTTCCTCTTTAAATGTCCCAAGTAATGGTTTGGTTTTGATTTTATCGCCAATAAAAGAATTACCCTTCGTAAAATTGCCTATTGGCTATTGTCTCGTGGAGTTCGTTCATTCGTGGCTCTGATTGGTGGAGGAGGGGTCTTGTATGCAAATGAGCGTGACGTCATACCCTCTGACCTCACGATTCTTGCTGGGGTTATGGTGGGTTGGTGGAGGTATGGTGGGTTGGTGGGGGTATGGTGGGTTGGTGGAGGTATGGTGGGTTGGTGGAGGTATGGTGGGTTGGTGGAGGTATGGTGGGTTGGTGGGGTTATGGTGGGTTGGTGGTGGTGGGGTTGAATCTTTTGGGGGAGGTTAATTGAAGGTTGGTTGGGATTCTGGGTGTTGAGTTATTTAATTATTTTAATGGTGAATTTTGAAGTCTCTCTCTCTCTCTCTAGCTTTATTGTAATTTTTATTATTGTTATTGTATATTATTATTTGTTTTCTTTATCATTGTTATCAGTTTTATATTTTGTTATAATTTGTTTCCTATTTTCATCATTATTATAAGTATCTTCTAGTTTGATTTTACTCTTATATTCAACTTTGATGTTGTTTCCTGTTTATCATCTGTGTTTACCACTTACTGTATGACAGAGCCGATGGTAGGCATTGAAGATAAGGTGAGGTTGTCATGTGTAGGTCGAGGTGTTGATGTCTGTGTTGTTGTTACAGGTCGACGCCCAACCTTGACGACAGCGAGGATGGCAGTATGGTGACGAAGAAATCCTCCATGTACTCCTACCTTCACGGTGCCTCCTCCTCCTCCTCGAGCAAGGGCGGCATGGGTGGTTCAGGAGTAGTGGGCGGTCGCTACTGGGACGTCACTGTGGGGGCGGATGACACGCCTGACCGTGAGGACTACGCTCACCACCTGCGCTCATCTTCCTACCAGCTGCTTCACTCTCGCCAGCTGTCTGCTCTCAGCTCAGGCTCAGCTGGTTCCTATCACAGCAGACAGCATTCCAACACCTCCAACTACAGTGAGTCTGAGGAGCTGAGTCCTCGGGGGGACCTCCCGACGGGCCACAGTCATCACCATGGGATGGATCGTGCCAGGTTCTTTTCCTACGACAACCTCGGACCAGAGTCTTCCAGTCAGAAGTATCATGGGACGTGGAACATGTCAGAGCCAGATCTGACTCTGGCCCCGCCACCATACTCTCCTCCAGGGCCCGGCTACCAGCACCAGCAGCCACCAATATCACCAACTCTGCCCTCGACAGCGGCGGCGGCGTCCTCCTCCTCTCCCTCTGTGAAACACTCTCCTACATCACCCTCGTCATCAAGCCGTCACCCATCATCGCCTCCTCCTCCCCCCGTGCGTGACGCTTCTAGTCTAAAATATATCAAGTATGGTCCCGGGCATGAAAAGTACCCGTCGTGGCCCGTGCCAGCAGCCAACCAAGTAATGCCTCACAGCTCCTCCACTCATGATGCTAATGTCTCCGGCTTGCCAGAGTCAACCTCCCAGTCCTCGGCGCCACAAGGCTCACACCGCTCCAAGTCCTGGACGGAGCAATCAGAGTACCCTAAGGAGAAGGCCGGAGGTTATGCTCGACCGTACAATAAGAAGCCCTTAAATCAGTCCTTCCAGAGGCAACTGAAAACTGTGATGGAGCGATCAGAGAAAATCCCCATGGAGGTGTTTCATAATAGTCTTCGAGAGGATGTGTTCTCTAGCTCAAATTATTCCTTTATAGATTCCTATTACAAACCTTCCAATTCCTACTATCCTCTTTATGACCGCGACGGCCGTGCCCTGGATGACAAGGACTACAGCATCCCCTCACCCCCAGAACGTGATCTAGGCATGGGTGAGGCTACACTCAGCCAGGTGACGGCGGCACAGCTGGAGGAGTATGTGCGTCGGTATGAAGAATTTGGTTACTCAGATTTGATAGGCACAACGCCTCTGTTAGATCAGCTTCGGCGTGAGTCGGTCATGTGGGACGGTAGGTCAGAGAGAGACTCTGGGAGAGGTGAGAGTGAGAGTGTTGCTGACAGTGCTCGCTACAGTAATGGTCGAGAGAGTGTGACTACCGTTGTCACGAACTCCTCCTCGGCATCTTCCTCAGAAACTCTCAAGTGGCATGGCTCTCTTTCTGACATATCTGTGATGTCTGGTCATTCACGTGATCCCAGATCTGACCATAATATTGTGCACAGCTCACGTGTACAGGCGCCTCAACGGCACAACAGTGAATCGGTTCTCTATTATGGTGCTGACAGCAGGGGTAAGCCGCCCCATGGAAGACTTGGCCACGACTCTCGTGATCACCGGGACGTACGGCGCTCAGTCAGAGACACAGAGTCTGGCTACCCGAGAGCCTCGCGGGAAGGAAAATGGAGCAGAGAAGTTGAACGCAATAATGAAATGAATAACCTGAAGAAATTCCCTTCATATTCCTATACACAGCCTCTCTCTCAGATTACTGAGGCTCCGGGCGCAGAGATGCGTGAGACCCCTAAGTCTCCTACTCGCTCCCCTCAGAGTCCTACTGTAGACTTCAGCAAGCCTCCATCAGTCGCTGAACGGATTCATGAACTGGAGAGACAGTCTCGCACTACAGGTCCAGAGAGTGCCACTCGCTGGCCTCGTGACCACAGCGGCTCACGGGAGAGGGACCCCAGGGATGCCCGTGATCACAGAGACCCCAGGGATCCCCGTGATCACAGAGACCCCAGGGACCCCCGTGATCTACGAGACCCCAGAGACATACGGGAAGGCCATGATCCCCGGGATCCTCAAGATCTTGGTCGGAGGTCCCGCGATGATACATCACCACAAGAGGCCCGTGAAGGTGGGGAGAAACTGGAGAGTCGAACACCCAGAGAACACCGGGAGTCAGGCGAGACTCGCACCCACCAGAGGAGAGGCTCCCGTGACTCTCAGAGAGGAGACAGGGACTTGAGATTGGATTTCTCTAGAACAGAAAGGAAGGGAGACACTTCGCATGCTTCACTAGACGCTACTCGATCTCCCAGCACGCCAGGGGCCTCGTCGTCCAGGTCTCCCACACAAAAAGATCCTGACGGTAGACCTTTCATTCATGAAAATTTCCAGAACTTGTTGAATACTTTTACAGAAGTGGACAGAGTTGACAGAATCGACCGTTCTGATAGAATGAACAGTAATGTGTCTTATTCCTATTTAGATCCAGAGAAGAGACGCAAGGTGCCAGACGCCACTCTTAAGAGTATTCAGAAACAAGCTGTGATGTCCTTTTATGAACGCCATACAGGAAAAAGCTTGGGTTGTGCTTCAGTCAGTGATCTCAGCTCAGCGAGCAGTCAGTCAAGTCTCATATCTTCCCAGTCAGCGCCAGAAACCTCACCGGGGAAGTGGCCAGGTGTCACTCATGCATCAATGAACCAGAGTATGAGGACAGACAAGTCTGGGAGAGCAGGGAAGGGCATGGCTCGCCTCGGCCGTGTGCCTGAAGGTGAAGGAGACGATCAGGGACACAGACCTGCTCGACGGCGATCTATGAGCGGTCGTGACTCTGGCAGTGAGGCAGGTACTGATGACCTCTCCAGGGGAGGCTCCCAGCGCTCCTCCCTCGCCTCGGATGCCGCCTCCTCCTCACGAGGAGAGCAGCCGCCGGCACTGCCCCAGAAACAGATACAAGTTCATCAGGAGGTAAGTACCACACTGTCCAGTAAACTTATCTATGTGTGAGTGAACATGTGTACAGTATGAGGTAGCTATGATCGCTGTGTGTGTCATCTGTTCCGGAGATTGTAAACATTACATTGAGTCTTCTTATTGGAGTATCGTAACAATACTCACCTACAGTACTGTGTCTGTATTTACCTACGATACAAATGAATACAATATTACAGAATCTTTTTAATTGATCGAAATTTTGCCTTGAGGTAAAATACTTATGGGAAAATATAAAACTTTACGGAGGAGTTTAGGATCATCAGCTGTGTGGATGTTTAGTGTAAAGGATAAAGAAAAGTAAATAGATGTTGAAGCTGACTGACGTTAATAATAGTTACATGTTAAGTACAGTAACATTTATACAAACATACATGCATAGTTAAATACGTTTTGTGTGTGTGCGAGAGAGTGCGTGCGTGCGTACTGTGTGTCAGTGATCAGACTCGTTACCAATAGCGTTCGTGTCAGGAGTTGACAATCTAACAACGTCCTTAGTAAGAATTTTGTAGTGTCCGTGGCGTTGACCCTATTAATGTTTCGTACGTGGCTTTCACCTCAGTAGCGTCGCGTTCGTCCGTCCGTTCGTAGCAGGAAGCAGCAGGACCGGTCGAGTAGGTGGGCCGTATATGTCCGTGGTCGAGTGATTTATGTGGCAGTAAACAGTTGATTGAGGGTGATGGTGGAGGGCGGTTCATAGCGGTTGTGGTCCCTCCCTCCCTTCTTTCCCACCAACTCTCCATTCCTTCCTTCCTTCCTTCCCAATCTCCTTTCCTCTCTTCCTTCCTCCATCCTTCTCTCCTTCCCTCCCTCCTACTCTCCTTCCTTCCTCCCTTCCTTTCCACCCTCCCTCCCTCCTAGTCTTCTTCCCCCGCCCTTCCCTTCCTCCTTTCTTTCCCACCCACTCTCCATTCCTTCCTTCCTTCCTTCCTTCCATCCCAATCTCCATCCTCTCCTTCCCTCCCTCCTACTCTCCTTCCTTCCTCCCTCCTTCCTCCCTCCTACTCTTCTTCCCCCGCCCTTCCCTTCCTTCCCATCCTCCTTCCAGACGTTTTGAAAGAGTCGTCTTCTTTGATAACTTGTTAAATAATTGAAATAATATAGATGACGTTCCCTATATAAGATGAAGTGATACTTGTTGGGAGGTTTGTGTGTGTGTGTGTGTGTGTGTGTGTGTGTGTGTGTGTGTGTGTGTGTGTGTGTGTGTGGAACTTATCTCCATGCACAAGAAGACGCACACGGAAACAGACAGATACACTTACACACGTCGACACGTACACAGGCAGACACGTACGCACACTGGTTACGTCAGCACACGGACACGTACACGGCCGTGATGGTGTGGCCATGACTCGAGAAACGAAATTGATGTATAATTTGTCTCGCGACGTCCGTCCTGTTGGAACTGGTAACTGGGAACTCGTAACTGGGATCTCGTAACTGGGGACAAGTTACTGAGAAATAGTGATTCAGAACTCGTGACTGGGAACTCGTAACCTTGTAGTCTTAACCAGAGACAAGTAACTGGGAACTCGTTACTGAGAATGAGTAACTGTGAAATAGTAACTGGGGACACGTGACATCCTTCAATCATAGAAAATGGGAGTAAGTATGATGAGAAAACGATAACTTAATAAAGGGATAACTATTAAATATATCCTTGACATACACACAACAACAAAGGGATAACTGTTACATATTTCCTTAACATACACACAATGACACCTACTCGGTACACCTTTTAATAACCCCCTAGGTACAGTTAAACCAGAATATGTCATTATCTTGTCCATCTACCCATTAGTCTCACTCCTCTACCAATTAAGTAATGGACTATAGAATATGTGTTGAAGAGGGAGTTGAGGGATTGGTGTTTTGTGAGAGAGAGAGAACTATTACGGGGAGGTGTTAGTGAAGGGGAGGTGTTAGTGAAGGGGAGGTGTTAGTGAAGTGGAGGTGTTAGTGAAGGGGAGGTGTTAGTAAAGGGGAGGTGTTAGTGAAGGGGAGGTGTTAGTGAAGGGGAGGTGTTAGTGAAGGGGAGGTGTTAGTGGGGAAGTGTTAGTGAAGGGGAGGTGTTAGTGAAGGGGAGGTGTTAGTGAAGGGGAGGTGTTAGTGTTAGTGAAGGGAGGAGTTGTTAGTGAAGGGAGGTGTTAGTGCGTTAGGTGTTAGTGAAGGGAGGTGTTAGTGAAGGGAGGTGTTAGTGAAGGTGTTAGTGAAGGGAGTGTTAGTGAAGGAGGTGTTAGTGAAGGGAGGTGTTAGTGAAGGTGTTAGTGAAGGAGGTGTTAGTGAAGGAAGTGTTAAAGGTTAGTGAAGGAAGTGTTAGTGAAGGGAGGTGTTAGTGAAGGGGAGGTGTTAGTGAAGGGGAGGTGTTAGTGAAGGGGAGGTGTTAGTGAAGGGGAGGTGTTAGTGAAGGGGAGGTGTTAGTGAAGGGGAGGTGTTAGTGAAGGGCAGGTGCTAGTTAAGGAAGAGGAGGTCAGTTACTATATTAGAACTTCTTTGTTTATCTCCGCCCGGTTAGTTACCTTCCTAGCTGGCTGGTTAGTTGACTGGCTGATGGCTAACTAACTAGCTACTTGACTGACTGAATGGCTGGCTGGTTGATAGGTGGCCGGTAATAAAGTCACAGAAAAAAGTCACAATTTTGGCTAGGAAAAAAGTCACAGGAAAAAAAGTCACAATTAATTTATGGTGGCCGGTAATAAAGGTTAGGTTAGGTTAGGTTACCATCAGTTCTGCATATTCCTTTACTGAAACTGATTGACATATTAACCTTAAAAAATGTGAGAATTCGATAGTTAACTTTTCTTTTTTTCCTGTGACTTTTTTCCTGTGACTTTCTTCCTGTGACTTTTTTACCTGGATTCGGTTGATATTGTCTGACTGAATGGTTACTTGACTGGCCGGTTACCTTGCTGGCTGAATGACTAGCTTGCTAGCTGGCTCGTTGAACCTTAAGGATTCACTCACACACACATACTTGTACACACACACACCGGCGTCCTCACCACCACAAAAACTTAACTACCACTACCATCACCTCCTCCACTACCACCAATCCCTCCTCCTCCACCACCGCCCCGTTCTCGTCCACCACCGCCCCCTTCTCCTCCACCACCGCCCCCTTCTCGTCCACCACCACCTCTTTCCCCTTCTCCCCCACCACCACCACCTCCTCCACTACTACCACCTCCTCCTCCTCCAGCCTGGGGGGAAGCGGATGTTCTCTTCGTCCAGGTTATATTGCTGTACTAGACACTCCTCTCGGCCACCAGACTCCATGGTTCACAGCAGTGGTTCATAAGAGTGGTTCACAGTAGAAATCTATAGGATTATTCTGTCTATTTCTCTGTCTGGCCGTATGTGTGTCTGTTTGTGTGTCTGTATTCTTGCTTACTTGTTTGTCATTTTGTTATGCTACCTGTCTGTGTCTGTCAGTCTGTCTATCTCCACACTTCTGTTCCCTTCATTACACAAATACATACCTGGGCAACATAACTCGTTAATGAGATCTAACTGGATTTCATTGTTATTGTAGAAAGGTGTTGCATGTGTTTTTTGCCATGCACATTACGACTACTTTGCTGTCACAATGATATGAATTATTAAGGATGTCACCTTCGTTGGTGAACGCTGAGGTGACTCGAGAGGCCGATACGGGACCGGTAGATGTTGCATATGTGGAGGGCTACATCTAGTGCGGGAAGGGGGCGGCCGCAGCGTCTTTCTGACGCCTCGGTATGCAGTCTGGAAATTATTGACACCTTCTCGTGTGGTGCTCCTCTAATTGTTATGGTGTTGAGTGATCGTCTCCCAGGTGAAGGGGTCGATTTGGCACTTTTTCAGGTTTGTCTTAAGATTATTGTCGTCCATGTAGGTCACATGACCAGTCCAGCGTAGTTGTTCATGGATAATGGTAGCCTCGATGCTCCTACAGCTGGTGTCAGCGAAAATACTGGCATTTGTTCTCTTGTCTTCCCGGCGAACTCGTAGGGTGAAACGTAAACTACGTTGTTGAGAGTTTTCAAGTTCCTTGAGGTGCCTCCTGTATGTGACCCATGTCTCGCTGCCATATAGCAGGGTGGGGAGGACCACTGCTCGATATATGAACAACTTTGTAAGTAATTTCAGCTCCCTACAGCTGAAGACATAGGTACCGAGTCTGCCAAAGGCTTGAGATGCACATCTGATTAGGTGTTGGATCTCTTGTGCGCACACCCACACGCACGCACACCCGCACGCACGCACGCACACCCACACGCACGCACACCCGCACGCACGCACGCACACACACACACACACACACACACACGATTGGCTATGTGGAGTAAACTTCTGTCTATTGTGTGTGTGTGTGATAAGGTCGATGTGCCTATAAGTAATCAGTAGCAAACAGGCCCTTAATGGGATGTCAGGCGCGTGAGGTGGTGTGTCCCGCCCTGGGGGATTACCACCTTACCTTCTAGACTCACTCCTTGCCTAGACACAGTTAGCTAACCTGGTGAATGAGGGGGGTGGGGGGTATGTACTGCTGTGGTGGGGGTAGGAGTCTTAGAGGTCTGTCTGTCTATTCGTTCCAAAGTTCTCCCGTACTTCCGTCCACCTCAAGTTTATCTAGAAAGCAGGTAGTGTCCAGCGACCAGTAATTATATTTTGTTTGTTTTCTTGAGATAACTCCTATGAATACCTGATCGGGATTGCCAAGGTGAAAGACTAATTATACATGTCACGTACAGTCAACTATTAAAGTCCGATCGCCTATCCTACTGAACCACCAACCCCGAGATTCAGACTCGTGAATCCGAAGCATTTATGGACAGAATAATGTATGGGTCTACTGCTTCGGGTTCACGAATCTCTCGGGTGTTGGTGGTTCAGGAGGAGAGGCGAACGGACTTTAGTAGTTAATTGTACCTTCGTCTTTCTCTATTTTTTACTATTATTATATTTTTGGGTTCCTGTTTGTTTCTTCTCGTATG